GGGTGGTTGTCAAAATGTTGGTCCCTTTTTGGGTCCCTAATATAATGCGGCACCTAATATTTAGGGCACCCAAAAAGGGACCCTAATTTTGACAACCACCCATATATACATGCATATATATATATATATATATGTATGTACGTATATGAGTACATGTAAATAAATATAACAAGAACTACATATGTTTACAAGCGAATAAGTGACACATAAGTAACTAAAGCCCGACCAACATCCTTCTCCACACCAACCGCTCAAGACACCCAAAGCGAGTCAGGAAGAAAAGTCGGGGTGCTACGCGGTGACCAGCACCCTCGTCGGTTGCGGGCTGAAGATCCTGAGGTGTATTGCGCGAAGCAGAGGCATTTCAACACGTTGGCTCGGTCATTTGGTCTTTGCTCCAGGCCCTCGTTTGGCAATCCTTGTTATAGCATGACATTTTGTGCAACAAGCGCTGGGCAGCAGCGGCGTCAACGCCGCAGATTGAGAGTCTGCAATGTCGCACGTGCATTCCAAAAACTCTGCTGCGCTTTCCGCTGTGATGCGCCCGAACTCCAATACCCGGCAAAACATGAAAACGGGCTCCCCGTTACTGCAGCCACTGAAGGAACCCAACAGTTGAGGCCGTGCGTCCACATGGTCGCCTCGGTCGTCTTTACAAGTGCCACAGTCCTCAGTCCCCCAATTCTGCGAAACACAACATCATGCATCAGCACCAGCATTCACATCCGGTCAAACCTCCGAACAAGGAACGGGGAGATGATAAAAACACTGCTTAAACGGAGAGCTCGAGGTGCGTCTCCCAAAACGGCTTCAGCAGGGCAGCCCTGGGTCCGCAGACCACCTGACAAGGCGACTCTTTTGGAGGTCTTATACTGCTTTTAGAAAGAGAAAGAGACTCCGCGAAAAAGCCCCACATACAAATCGTACGCACGGGCAGCACTTATCTTCCGGGGTGCACCCTTACGGATGCACCCACGTTTAGGGTTTGAACTGCATATCCTATAGCGCCCTTGTCTACTTGCTCCGTCGCTTCTCGAAGTGTAAAGGCACCTGGTTCTTCTTCAGGTCGAGCTCGAGCTGGAAGGCACCCATCCTGCAGTGGACACATCCGCAGGGAAGAACGCATGCGCTCTATAAGGGCCGCATACTATATGCATTTTTTGGAGCATCATAGGATTTCATAGGCTCTTTTAAGTAAGATCATCCGAGAAGCAGCACCCACGAGCAACGTCTGAGAATGCCGAGCCTCGGGAATGCCAAAGGACGCAACCCACTCGGCACAAGGCTTTTACGCGTCCTTACATCCTTGTACATCTCCGTGCTGGCCAATAGACTCTGCGTCTTTACTGCGTTGTTGGTAGCTCAAGAGGTACTGTAGCACGACGGACACCATCCGAGAGTCCGAGAGTACGTCAGCCCAATCCTCCAAAGTACACTGCTCTTACTCTCGTGGCCCGGGTCTTCCGCTTCAGGTTAAACTTTCCTCTCTAGTATCTACACGTACTGACAGTCCTCGATCGCTCACACCTCCATAGGCATTGCAGGTCTTGTCAAAGGACTGAGAATACCGCACAAAAGCATCATGATACCGCACGGCCTAGACCAAGGAAGATGTGAGCAGCCCACCAAAACACTTACTATCGAACCCACGTCGAACAGAGCAAAAGACAAAGCCTCTGAGAATCGGTACTTTTGTCACACTGACGTGAACAGGGCATGAGTGATGATCCGAAGACTTTTGTCAAGTCTTCACAGATTCCCCAATGTCGTTGGCAGAAGTACCCTCATTGCAATCACGGCACATGAGGTTGGCGCGGCGCCTGCTGCAGAGAACAGTAGCAAAAGCTTGCTTGCATGGGCGGAAGTTCGTCCGTGCTCATGTTGTTGGTGTCCGGCATGGTTCTGTGATAATCCGTGCGGGTTCTGTGCAGTGTCTGTGGAAATTGTGCCGGATGACATCCCCACACTGAAACCCATGCATGACAAACAAAGCCAGGTCTTAGCAGCCCTTAGCGGTCGCAGTGTGCTTCTGCCGGCTCCCGGCGTTCACAGCATGCAGCCGAGCATCTCGAACTTGGACTCGTCGTAGTCCAGAGTCTTCATGTCTTTGGCGTGACGTAGCTCAAGCCCTGGGCTCTTGGAGAACGAGTTTGGAGGTGTTGTGGCCTCTGGGACTTGGGACCATGGTTTGCAGGGGCGATGATTGGCTGACTGCATGGCTTACCAAAAGGGCATGGAACATTCTGGCATGTGGACCTTTCCACCAAACCTCGCCGAAGCCCGCACAACTTACCTGAACTCTAACTTCGTGGCCACATCCCCAAGACGTCGAATCTAGGCTCAGGACGCTTACGGTGAGGCTGATCTGGGATGTCATGGACAGTGAAGCCGCTCCTGCAGCAGCAGCTCTACAGGTTCTGCTTATACCTCTGTGTGCGCTGCAGACCGGCAGACAGACAGACGCACAGACAGACAGCCGTGCATCCATGCATGCATGCCTGCGTACGTACGTGCACGCACACACACAGGTACATACAGACTTACATGCTTACTTATCTACTTACTTACTTAACTTACAGCACTTACTTGCTCACTCAATCACCTACCCAGTTACTGACACTAAATCGAATGAATACTATTCCGGTTCTAGCGGATATTGATGATGCTTACATTGAAAAAATCAACCAACACATGTCTTGCCCTGCACACAGCTCCCACACACCTAGCCATGGGGAGCAGTGCGCTCAGATCTCAGAAAGAATCACGCCCGCCTGCACCTCCCAGGGATATTTGCCCCAACTTAATGCAACGATGCGTATTGTCTAATTAATATAAAGGTTGTAAATTTTTACACTATGTATGTATATATAATATTATATATATATATATATGTTATATATCATACTATATATATATATAT